ACCAACATCAAACAATGCTAAAAAGTCTAACTTTACTTGTCTTAAAAACGAAACAAACTATACTACCACAGAAAACAGTTCAGGAGTCTGGAGTCGACAGGTGACAGCACACAGGCGGAATTTTGACAAGTGCCATTTTGCAGCGGATAAAACAAGTGCAACTTTTTTGGTTTGTTTTATTTTCTTAAATCTAGTCCGTGTCAACGTCACGAAAGTTTTTTAACAATTAAAGAAAGTATCCAAAAGTTTCCAGAAGTTTCCAGAAGCATGCAGAAGTTTCCAGAAGTTTCCAGAAGAAGCATCTGGAAGCACCCAGAAGCATTCAGAAGTATCCAGAAACATTCAAAAGCATCCAGACGCATCCAGAAGCTTCCAGAAGCATCAAAAAGAAGCATCTAGAATCTTCCAGAAAAGGTTCACACAGGTTCATTTTACAATATAAGAAACATGTAAACCGTCATTTAATTCAGTCAGTATATTGAAGTCAATCAGTCAGTATTATTAAGACAGTTTATCCAAGTGAGTTTTATCAAAGTGTTTTATCAAAGAACATCAATACAAGAAGTGAAATACAACAAGTGTTTCATTACATCAATACAGTCCACATCCAACCAAGACGTTGTGTTCCACAGAGCATTATTGTATCATCACAAGGTAAATGTAACATGGTAAGCCTTGAGGATTACTTGTTTTTATTATTTTTATGACTTCAAGTGCAAAAATGGCTCCCGAGAGTTTTGAATTGGAACTAAGAAAAAAAATTATTGGCAATTACGTAAGTGGAATTTACAAAAAAGTATTTGTGACTAATATCGCGTGAAAAAACGGACCGTATCAAGACTATGTTACAAATATCGTACTACGGGAAGTTGACAGTAGATAACAAAGGTTGAAGACTATGATCCACCACTTCTAGAGAGGATTCTATGATTGTCAGATCCATCAAGAAGGATCCCTGGATATCATCAGTCGAGATACAACAGCAATTAGAGCTGCCTGTATCGAACCGAACAACCAGACGACGTGCTATTAAAGCCGGATTGTTTTCTCGACACCCTGCAAAGAAACCGCTGATTTCACTAAAGAACCAGAAGAAAAGACTCTTGTTTGCTCCATCTCATTGACTGGAATGTGCAGGAATGGAGAACTGTTCTGTTCAGTGATGAATCGAAGTTCAACATAATTGGGAGCGATGGCAATTGCTGTATACGACGACCGGCCGGAAAACGCCTCGATTTACGTTACTACCATAAGACCGTGAAGCATGGTGGAGGCAATGTAATGGTCTGGGGGTGTTTTTCTGCTAACGGTCTAGGTCCAAATACATCGAGTCAATGGAATAATAAACCGTTTCATGTATAAAAATATCCTGAAAGATATTATGTTACCTCATGCTTAATGGAATATGACAATAAATGGGTTTTTTAGCAAGACAATGATACGAAACACACAGCAAAAGTAGTCAAGCAATGGTTTCAAGACAACCAACTATCGGTGATGGATTGGCCGCCTCAATCTCCGGATCTAAACCCTATCAAAACCTGTGGGAGATTGTCAACCGCAGAATTAATCGTTAAGGTTTTCGTAATAAGGATCAACTGTTTGAACAAATCCAAAAGGCCTAGGCAGCGATTCCACAAAGTTTCATTAATCACCTTATTGAATCTATGCCTCGAAGATGGAAGTCTGTGATCGACAACAAAGGATTCGCCACGAAATAGTGATAGTGAAATACAGCTTGGTCAACATTTTGTGGAGTTGCACTTGTTTTGTCCAGAAGGAAATCGATTTTTTTTAATACTTTTGATTAATTTATGAATTTTCGTGTACAAATAATGAACTTTGTGATGAATAAAACTTGAAAAGCGTTGTCTCTAAAAAGTTACATAGTTATTTCTCTAAATTGAAAAAATGCAGCACTTTTATACAAAGAAACTAAATTAGCATTATTTGGTTGCACTTGTTTTGTCCGATACTGTATATAAAGTTTGCAATGAGGAAAAGTGATATTCAGTAAAATAAAAACAGAATCAATACTTATATATAAGTTGTACTCTATTTCAAGGTCACATTTCTCGGAGACTGGACTGTTAAAACATTTATTAAATTTTGTCGGTAAAGTAATTTTTTTATTACATTAACAATATAGTGCTATTGTATTATAAAGACGAATAACAATACAATATTTATTGTTATTGTAGTGGGTTATTACAATGCATTTTTTTTCAGATATTGTTACTGTTTTATAAAGATGAATTGCAATACAATATTTATTGTTATTATATAACAGTATTACAATAGTTGTAAACCACAAGTATTGTTATTGTTTCTAAATTAAGTTAATATAATTACAATAGTTATTGTTACTGTTATTGTTTTTATTACAATTACAATAGTCCTAACCCTAATCTTTAGTGTAAATAAATTTGAAATATCTTCTTCAGAATTTGAAAGTGCTTATAAAATACTTAAAACTAATAAAGCAGTTGGTCCTGATGATATAAATTGTAATATAGTCATAGATTCATACGATACCATAGAACATATTGTTTTTAAAGTTTTTAAATGTTCTATAAATCAAGGAAGTTTCCCCGATTAATTGAAAATAGCTAAAATAATGACTATATTTAAAGCAAGTGAACCATCAAATGTCAGTAATTATCGACTAATATCTATCCTCTCTGTTTTTTGAAAATTTTTAGAAAGAATTATGTTCAACCAAATATCTAATCATCTTGATATTAATAATATACTTTACATAAATCAATACGGTTTTAAAAGAAATAACTCTCCTGAACATGTAGCAATTCATCTTACTCGTAGTATAACTGATTCATTCGAAAAGTCAGAGTTTACTTTAGGCGTTTTTATAGACTTATCTAAGGCTTGTGACACAGTTGACCATGAAATACTGTTTAAAAAACTTGAACATTATGGTATCACCGGTAATATTTTAAAACTACTAAAAAGCTAATTAAAACATCGCAAACAATTTGTCTTTGTCGACGGATCTTTTTCACAAGATTATCTTAATATAGATTATCTAAATATAATGTGTAGAGTTCCACAGAGATCTATACTAGGGCCCTTATTATTTCTAACTTATATGAACAATCTCCATGAAGTTTCAAAATTAACTACTATAATGTTTGCTGATGATGCAAACCTATTTCTATCTAATAATAACATCAATAAACTTTTTTATGATATGAACATTGAACTAAGAAAAATATCTGACTGGTTTAAGTCAAATAATCTTTCACTCAACATTGATATAAATAAATCGATTTTCTTTCATCCACATTTTAAAAAACATATACTTCTAAGTGATTTGCCTCTTCTTCATATTGATAATATTCAAATAAAAAGAATAATTTTCACAAATTTTTTAGGTATCATTGTAGATGAAAATTTATCATGAAAGAATCACATCGGACATTTATGCAACAAAATTGCAAAAAACATTGGAGTTATATATATATAAAGCAGGATGCGTTTTAAACAAACATTCATTAACTCAATGATGTTACTCTTTTATACACTGTCATATTAATTATGCTAATATTGCATGGAGTAGTATCCATAAAAGTAAATTAAAGCCACTTTATTGTCAGCAGAAGCATATTGCACGTCTTATAAATTTCAAAAATCGTTTTACTCACTCAAGACCACTCTTATTTAACATGAATGTTTTTAATATATATCAAGTAAATGTTTATAATGTTGTTTGTGTAAAATGTAAAACTAACTCATCTCCAGTTTTCTTTTTTTTGATTTATATTTTTTAAAAGAAAAAAATAAATATTCTTTAAGAAATGAAAATTTTATTAAATAACCAAAATTTCAAACAAACTTTGGCAAATTTTGCATTTCTTTTCGTGCAGCTTTTTTATGGAACCAAATAATATAAGGTCTCTGTTATACTGTTGTTGAAAATTTTCTTCCTTTATTAGTTTCAGTCTGGATGATACAATTAAAATGATTTATCTGGATGATACAATTAAAATGATTTTTTAAGTTTTGTATAAAATCCACACATCTACTTATTGGTTTCAGTAATTATCTCATCGCTTCCTATAAAAATCATACAACTTTATAATATAGACACTTTAAATAGTTATTTTTTTTAAAACCAAAAATTTACATTTTTAAATAATATTTTGTTATACTATTTTTTATTATCTTACTTTATTATATTATTTTTTTTTGATTTATATTAAACTTTTAACCTTAAAAAAGGTAAACAAATGTTGGTCTTTTGCAAAAACAAAGATTTTCAGAGAAATCAACTTTAAGGTTGGGCCGGCCCGGGTCTAGGTACAACCGATTTCAAGACATCCCACCTATGCGTAGATGCAGATAAAAATGTGTATAGATTCTGAACCTGATTTCCTTCTCAGATTCGAATCATATATTTTTTTTTTCCATAAAAAATGTACTGATGAACGAGGCTAGCAAATAAAAAAAAACACGAGGATTATAGTTTTTCTATAAGTTACAAATCTAAATATAATAATTGTTCCTAGAAATCATGGCTTATTCAGTTTAATAGATAAAACAGTTATCAAAAGCTGATTCCAGTGTATATGGCGCAAAACTCTAAAACACCTATTTTCTGACATAAATAACCTGTTGCTAAAGTCGTTCATGCAGTTGCATTAATTTAGAAATTGCAAAAAAATTTTTAATGGCTCGTCGTGGTGCCCCTTACCATGCGGTGCCCTAGGCACGTGCTTAGTGTGCCTTTAAGGTTAATCCGTACTGATAATATTAGAAAAGGTGAATTTTTTATTTCATAAAGGGGATAGACGACAAAATATTTAGTCTTCTCCTTACGCTAGTCCGATATATATATATATATATATATATATATATATATATATATATATATATATATATATATATGTATATATATACACATTGTAAAATCTGAGGATATTGACAAAATTAAAAAAAAAAAAATATCATTATGGTTTGGATAAGTAGATTAAAAGGGGATATTCGTTGTAAAACCATTATATTTAGTCAAATTTACTCGTACTTTTATATTTTAATTTACTCCAATTCAAATTTACTCGTACTTTCATATTTAAATTTCCTTATACTTTCACATTTAAGATTACTCGTACTTTCACATACAAATTTACTCGTATTTTCACATTCAAATTTACACATACTTTCACATTCAATTTTACTCGTACTTTCACATACAAATTTACTCGTTCTTTCACATTCAATGTTTTAAATGTAAAAAATAAACTTCAATTATAAAAATGTAGCTGAACACAGAAACATTTGAAACAATTATATATCAAGCTTTAGTTTCTTTCTATCCATAGCTAAATCTGTATCATATTCATAATAAGAACTTGCTAATTCTAACAACCAAGACAGTTTTATATCTGTAGCATCCCTCATGTAATCTTTTGAAGTGCAAAGGACTTCGTTAAATATAAGGAGTTTCGGAGGAGGCGTAATACTCGAAAGCACTGATGATGGATGCAAATATAACGAACGATTATCACGTACTGTTCTATATTCACCAGAGGGATGATATTTAGCAACATTTGCAAAAAATCCAGATATAATACACTTTCGAATAGCTTCGTCATCTTCTTTACACGAAACTATTGGAATGTCGTACTGCTTTAGAATAGATATTAATTGATTTCTTACCTTTACTACACGAACAAGAGATTTATAATTTAAAAAATGTTTGTGGCACCAATCCATGCTCTTCCCATGTTTAATAAAAGCACGATAAACATTAATGAGAGTTAAATGATCTCCTTCTTTTGCAGCAAAGCGAAGTTTTGATCTGGTCACTTTATTTTTCATGTTAGGCACGGCAACAAAAACATTTTCGATCTGAAGCATAGCTGCTAGCGTAACAGCTTCTTCAGAACATTGAAAATTTCCAGAGCACAAAAGCATCTTAGAAAGCATTGGATTTAAAGGAAACTCAGCCATCTGGACGCCTAAAGGCTCTGTTAAATTACCTTCTTCGGTGAGTGCACCAAGTGCAAACAGAAGTTCTATGCCATTTATCATGAGTTGAGCTGGTGGCGCACTTAAAAAATTGAATCTCAATACATTACTTATTCCTAAACTTTTCAATTGTAAAATAACGGAGGCTAAATTAGTTCTTTGTATTTCTGGAATGGTGAATAAACTTAATTTATCAAACTCACATTCCGGATAAAGACGATATGCTTTTCCAGCACGAACCCTACCAGCTCTTCCTGATCGTTGAGCAGCTGATGCTTTTGATATAGGTGTTATCACAAGAGAGTCTAATCCTGATGCAGCATTGTATGCTTTTAACTTGACAAAACCAGAGTCTATAACATAAACAATACCACTTATAGTAATTGATGCTTCAGCGACATTAGTCGAAACAACTACTTTTCTGGTATTAGGGGGAGCACGTTGAAAAACCTTTAACTGTTCAGCCATGGGTAAACCACCATACAAAGGAAGTAATAAAACATTTTGTATATTTTTCGGCAACAAATTAATTTCATTTTGTATAAGTTGTAAGGCATTCTCTACTTCGTCTTGACCAGTAAGAAATACTAATATATCTCCATCTGAATATGATTTATGTATATTTATGACAGTGTCTACAGCAGATTTCACATAATTCGGGATAGCAGCTTGAAGATAAAAAATATCAACAGGAAAAGTCCTACCCTCCATTTCCAATATAACAGATGTAACTTCGGCTTTGTTAACAGATTTTTTTATATTAAAAAATTTTTGGTACTGATCGGCATCTAATGTGGCAGAAGAAATGATCAATCGGAGATCTGGCCGTTTGCGCAAAATTTTCTTGAGCAATCCAATTATAACATCAGTATAAAGTGTCCGTTCGTGAACTTCATCTAACATTAAAACGCTGTACTGAGAAAGCAAAGGATCAGCCATCATCTCTCTCACCAAATAACCATCGGTAAGAAATTTAATTTTTGTCAAATCTTTATCAGTACAGTCTTCGAAACGAATTGAATACCCTACCTCTCTTCCTAAAGCAGTTCCCATTTCTTCAGCTACTCTACTAGCAACAGAAGTAACTGCAACACGACGAGGTTGTGTTATGCCAATAATTTTTTTTTCATTAGTCCAACCAGCTTCATATAGGTATTGAGGAATTTGTGTAGATTTTCCAGATCCAGTTGAAGCAGATATAATCACAGTTTGATATTTTTCTAGTAGGTATAACACAGCATTGCGATACTTAAAAGATGGAAGTCGTTGTCTTTGCTGTTGAATAGATAATAAATTATTAGGATTGTATATCATAAAACTTCCAGCTCCTTCACCCTCTGATTGCCTTTCGGTCCTTAAATCGATACCAGGTTTTTCAGCACCTGGTTTCCAAAATATATTCTTTTTATTTAACATCTGAAATAAAAATTTTGTAAAAAAATAATAATAAAAAAAAAATTAAAAAAAAAAAAAATTAAAAAAAAAATCATTTTCATTTAAAATATTAATTCAATCATGCAAATATTAGAATAAAACCACGTTAACAATAAAGGTAAGTTTTATAAACAGTGTATATACCAGCACATATACTTAAACAAATATTATAACTGGTAATACTTAAATAACTATTAATTTCGACAATATATACATAATTTTTAAACTTTATCAAATCAGAACTCCATATCTGACTCAGAATCATCTTCGTCCCAAAATGATTTTGCTGCACCATCGTTGTTGCTAAAGTCAACTTCTACGTCATACTTCCATGCACTATCACCGGGTTTTATTTGATTCTTTTTAAACACCTCATTCATTTGTCCTTTTACTTTGTTCAACGTTTCATCGTCTAATTTATTTAAATTCTCCGTTTCAAAATCAACATCAACAGTTTCCTTTTGAATTACTTCATTTAAGTTAGTTTGATTACCGTTTACGTTTGTCACCAACATTTTAAAAAGCCTTTCAATTTGTTCATGCTTAAATTTTTTTAGATATTTAGAATGGTGAGATTCTTTGAGTAGACTGGTAAAAAGTTTTTCTTCGTTTGTATTTTCATTTAAACGTATTGGTATAGAGCGCCGATGAAGCTTCCCTGATGATTTAACAGTGTAAAATAAAACTAGTGTAGGAGGAGAATACTTAACACCACATTTCTTTGGTAAAATATCTTCCATTCAATTAAAAATATATTTGTTATTTTATACAGCAAGAAATATCTAGAAAAACAAATAACAATAAAATTAAACTAAGTAATCCATTCCATGTAAAAAAAAAGAACTTTTTAAAAAATGCAACTTTATGTCTTCGGATTTTATTTTTCAAGTTAGTAAAAACTTAAACATACCTAAACTTACTAAACTAAAGTACTTAGTAAATACTTAAGTATATATTGAAGTAAAGAATTCAAATATATAAAGTTTTCATTTTAATGACAAAATACCCAGAAGTCAATTCAACAAAATATAATGATTTACACAATTTACTTGTCAATAGTTTGAATTTTTACAAATATTCGAAGAAGAACCTGAACCTGTTTTTTTATTTTAAAGAAGAAGAACCTGTTTTTTTTATTTTAAACATTTAATATTTGTATGAATTATCAAAACGGTCTTATAACAATAACATGGGTAACAAGGATTTTCTTAGTAATAAATTTGAATCAACTAATTGCCTTTTAGCTATTTTATGTATATATACATATACTAGTTTTATGTATATATATACATATACTAGTTTTATGTATATATACATATACTAGTTTTATGTATATATACATATACTAGTTTTATGTATATATACATATACTAGTTTTATGTATATATACATATACTAGTTTTATGTATATATACATATACTAGTTTTATGTATATATACATATACTAGTTTGCACAGAAGCTGATGTATAAGCTGTAGACGCGTAAAAATCAACAGAAACATCTACTAAAATATCTCACAAACATTCACTATAGTTTTACCACTAAATGTGTCACTGTGAATAAAATATGTCCTTAACTTAATTTATAATAGCTGAAATAAAAAGCGAAAAAATGATTTAAATTTACTTGAAAAATAAAATTTTATGGAGTAAAAAAAAACAACGATAAATTACTAAATGATGGCCTTTATCTCATTTTACACCCCAAATGTTTTTACGTATATAAATACAAATAATTTAAAGAAAGTTCTAAGTTAAAAATATCACATTTAAAAATATATTAAAAACAAATATTAATCAAGATACTCTAAAAAAGATAAATCAATTGAAACTATTTTTAACAACAAATCTGATATAAAATTTAATTTACAGCATTAAGAACATTAAACAAAAAAACTAAAAACAAATTAATTTGGATTTTTTGCAAGGTTAAACTAAAATTTTTGTTTGAGAAACAATTACAAACTCTTGTGTTACTTATTTCCTAAAATTAACTAAGCAAAAATAGTATATTTTCAGCAAGTGACAAATCACACTATTATTTTGAAAGGACTAATTAACAAACACCTCAACTTTCTTTGAAACTGTCTTGCATCCTGTAGCTGAAAACCATTTTTCTTCTTCTGGAAAATAATGCATTTCATTTGCAATTTCTTCTAAAATACCATCATTAAGTTTATGATTACGCTTTTGAAGTTCTGCTTCTGCGCATTGTTTGACATGTTTACGCTCCAGTGGTAAAAATGGCACATAAAAGTCTATTAATCCAGTTAAAACAATATCAGCATTTTTAAAGCCACCTGGCATATTAAACGCACCAAGAGATAAAAGTCTATCCATTTCAGCACTAGTTATCATTTCTCTAGATTTACCTTTGGCAAAGTGATTAATAGCAAAATTGTTAATTTTGTTACCTGCAGTATTGCTTAAAAATATGAAAATATTTTTACGGTAATCTGTGCCTTCTAATGCATGGTGGTAGTCTAAATAAGGTTTTAAAACATCTGCAAGGCCCTCTGGCAATTTGTCCACTTCATCAAATATAAACAGCGAGCGCTCACATTTTTTCGCATTATACTCAATAAAATTTTTTAACTCTGTTTTGTATTTCTGCAAATCACCTCCATGTGGATAATGGAATGTTGCAATTTTTTTGTGAATAAATTTACTCTTTAGACCATTTTTATACAAATGTTTTGCAACAATATCTGCAACAAAACTTTTACCACTACCTGTCCATCCATGAAAAGACATAACCAACGGTTTTTTTGGACTTTTTTCTTTAGTATGTGATTCAACAGCTTTACCTACCATTTTTATTACTAAATGCTGCCCAAAAAGCTTTTCATTTAAACTGTTTTGAATACCTGAAACGTCGTGATTGATCCAGTTATCATCGCAGCATTCTTTAAATTGACAGTAGATTTTAGCTTAAAATAAAAAAAATCAATTGTACATATATATATATATATATATATATATATATATATGAAAAAAATACTAAATGAAAACTGACAAAAGTACTAAATGAAAAAAAATTATTCCACTTTTAATAACTTTGAAAAAACTTATTTTGTCTATTTTTATTATACAAGGTCAAAATGGTGCATAAAATGGGACAATAAATTAAGTGGTAAACTTTTTTCACTGTTTATGTTTGTTAAATTTCTGTTGTTTTAACACAAGTTTTCTTGACAGTATAGACAAAAAGTAATTTTTGCTGACTTTTCATTTCTTTTCTCATTAGATTCAAAAATGTTTTGCTCAACTTAACCCATTACATTGGCATTTTAGACTATATCCTATTTTAATAATGCAGTTGGGTCATTTCTACTTAGGGTGTCTAATAGCAAGACTCTTTATGGAAAGAATTTCAGGGTTGCCGTTTTCTCTCTCTGCGTTGGTTACCTCGTTGCCTGCTTTGATGTTATTATAAAAAACATTGGAAATAATTTTTGAAAAGATGCGGTGTTAACAGAAACAGTTAAAGAGTTAAGATAAGAAACAGATTACTGCAAAAAGCAATACTTTCTGTTGTAGAAAGACTATTTTAGACCGTTTTCAGCTAAAGTTTGCTAGAACGAGAGGGGTACTGCTGCCCAAACTTTTTTCCTAGAACAGGCCCTATATATATATATATATATATATATATATATATATATATATATATATATATATATATATATATATATATATATATTAGTAGAAACTTTTTTATTTTTTATTTTGGAGCGTTTTATTTATATTTTAGAGTGTTTCATCAATATAGAATCATTAGAAATAAGAATTATTAACTCAATATGTAGATAATTTTATTTCTTATTTATTTTTGTTTGGTAATCCTCTAAACTGGATATTCCAAAGAAATGCTCATATTAAAAAACTTTAATTTATAACAAAAACTAATTGACCCAAAGTCACAACCTACTGTAGTACTTCCCACATTTGTGGAATATGTTGACACTATTACAAAAAGAATTCTTTAGAATTGTTTATTTCTGTCCTTTTAAGAAATTTTAATTGGGATTTTCTATTATTATTCAATTAGCTCATTTATTTTTATAGTTTTAAAAAAAAAAAAATTATGAATTTTTGGCATAATGAAGGATTATGAATCGTTTTTTTTGGATTTATCAAAGTTGACTTTGCATTTTTTCGTAACAATATTTTTTGTTAACCGACTTATTTTAAAAATCGATTTCTTCAATACACTTTTGGACATATCTCTATTTTCAATCCAATAAAGATATATACTGCTGGAAAATTATTCAGAATTTTGGGTAAAATGTTGATAGTTTGCAAGAAAGGAAAGAAATCCTAATGCGTTACTCTTCAAAGTAAACTTATAGTAACTTTAAAACTAAACATGATGTTCTCCCCTGTGAACTAATGAGCATTAAAGAAGTGCTACCAATTCTGTCACTGTAGTGTTAACAATAGCTGTCAATGTGTTGTTAACAATATCTGCCACTGTAGTGCTAACAATAACTGTTTGTCAGGGATGCATCATTATATCTTTATCATTACCTGTTGTCTACACCATATAAGTCATTATTGCAATAAAATACACCCCACAATGAGAAAAAAACCTAAAAACACCTAACCTCTCCAAAATTTTTAGAAAAATGTGAATATAGAGACAACCATACACACACACACACACACACACACAAAAAAAAAACAACAACAATATATATATATATATATATATATATATATATATATATATATATATATATATATATTTAAGTTAATTAAGGTGCCCCAAGAAGTTCTTACGGTCTTATCCCAGAGCACCGCAGAAGAGCATTTAACAGGAAGTTCACGCCTCCTTCCAAACCGATGTCGCAAAACTTGCCCAGAGGTGATGTTTGTACCACGGATCTTACGCTTCTGAGGCAAGTGCGCTACCACTGCGCCACAGCTGCTTATATATACATATATATATATATATATATATATATATATATATATATATATATATATATATATATATATATATATATATATATATATATATAATAGATATAAAAAAATATATATGCCTTTTATATCTACTATATTTATTGTACATAATGCAACAGTATTGACTGTATAATAAACAAAGAAAATAAAGTATTAAAACATATAAGATAAGAAAATATAGTCATAACTATATTGATATAAACTGTGTCAATATTTATAACTATAAAAATTTAGTTACTAGATGTGGAGTGTATAGGAAAAAGTATTCAGAAGTATTGTGAAAAATGATTTACAGTATTGGACAAAACAAGTGCAACCAAATAATGCTATTTTAGTTTCTTTATGTAAAAGTGCTGCATTTTTTTAATTTAGAGAAATAACTATGTAACTGTTTAGAGACAATGTTCTTCAAGTTTTATTCATCACAAAGTTCATTATTTGTACACTAAAATTAATAAATTAATCAAAAGTATTAAAAAAGTTTATTTCCTTCTGAACAAAACAAGTGCAACTTCACAAAATGTTGACCAAGCTGTATTTCGCTGTCAATACTTCGTGGCAAATATATTGTCGTTGATCACAGCCTTGCATCTTCAAAGCACAGATTTGATCAAGTGATCAGTGAAACTTTGTGGAATCGCTGCCCAGGTCTTTTGAATTTGTTCAAACAGTTGATCCTAATTACGAAAACCTTATCGATTAATTCTGCGGTTGACGATCTCTCACAGGTTTTCAATAGGGTTTAGATCCGGAAATTGAGGCGGCCAATCCATCACCGATAGGTGGTTGTCTTGAAACCACTGCTTGACTACTTTTGCAGTGTGTTTTGGATCGTTGTCTTGCTGAAAAACCCATTTTATTGTCATATTCCATTCAGCATGAGGTAACATAACATCTTTCAGGATATTTTTATACATGAAACGGTCCATTATTCCATCGACTTGATGTATTAGACCTAGACCGTTAGCAGAAAAACTCTCCCAGACCATTAAATTGCCTCCACCATGCTTCACGGTCTTATGGTAGTAACGTAAATTGAGACGTTTTCCGGCCAGTTGACGTACATGGCAAATACCATCGCTCCCAATGAAGTTGAACATCGATTCATTACTGAATAGGATTTCTGCACATTCCAATTAATATGAGATAGAGCAAACAGGAGTCTTTTCTTATGGTTCTTTAGTGAAATCAGCGGTTTCTTTGCAGGGCATCGAGAAAACAATCCGGCTTTAACAGCACGTCATCTGATTGTTAGGTTCGATACAGGCAGCTCAAATTGCTTTTGTATCTCGACTGATGATATCCAGGGATCCTTCTTGACCGATCTGACGATCATAGCATCCTCTCTAGAAGTAGTGGAATGAGGTCTTCCACCTTTGTTATCTGCTGCCAACTTCCTTGTAGAACGATAATTGGAACATATTCTTGATATGGTCCATTTTTTCACGCGATATTAATCACAAATACTTTTTTGTGACATTCCACTTACGTAATCGCCAATAATTTTCTTTCTTATTTCCGATCCAACAATGTTGGGAGCCATTTTTGCACTTGAAGTCATAAAAATAATAAAAATAAATAATCACGCTTTTCAAGGCTTACCATGTTACATTTATCTTGTGATGATACAATAATGCTCTGTGGAACACAACGTCTTGGTTAGATGTGGACTATATTGATGTAATGAAACACTTGTATTTCACTTCTTGTATTGATGTTCTTTGATAAAACACTTTGATAAAATTCACTTCGATAAACTGTCTTGATAATACTGACTGATTGACTTCCATATACTGACTGAATTACATGTCGGTTAGCTTCTGCATGCTTCTGGAAACTTTGTTGACAAGTTCTGGAGACTCCTGAACTTGTCAACAAAATTCTGTCTGTGTGCTGTCACCTGTTAGCTGATTGCTCATCTCATGGCATGCTATGACTCGAGACTCCTGAACTGTTTGCTGTGGTAGTATAGTTCGTTTCGTTTTTAAGACATAAAATTAGGAACACTTTTTAGCATTGTTCGATGTTGGTTGCAAATGTTTTGTCTAATACTGTATATTGAAAGTAGGGATGGCAATCTCAGGATCCGGAAATCCTGGGATTTTGTACAAATTGTTTATCCCAAAATCCCGGGATAAGTCTCTGAAATTTCTCGGGATTACGGGATTGTCAAAAAAAAAAAAAGTTAATAAAAAGGAAAAGTTAAGTTTAAGCATATAATTGTAGTTCAGGATTTTTAATATTGTCTATGGTATATTAACTGTTTGGTTGTGTAATTATTTATTCTCTTTGCAATGCTTTCCTTTTAAAACTCTCTTTTTCTGTATTTTACTAAAAAAGAAATTCAAAACCTTATTGCTAGTCTGCAAAAAAAAAAAAAAAAGTATATATATATATATATATATATATATATATATATATATATATATATATATATATATATATATATATATATATATATTTATATATAATATATAGGCCTTGTTTTAAAGCGTTACGCCTAGAGCAATTTACGTACGCCTTAAGCGATTTTTAGGTACGCGTAGAGCTATTTTGGTCAAGCTACTTTTATCATTTTTTAACTATTAAATTAGCGGTAACATAAAAGTAGTAATTAATTTTTAAAAAAACCACATTAACTTTTAAATAACAATATGTAAAAATTTATTAAAAAAAATAATTTACTTTAAAAATAATTGTTGTAACTTTTCATCGCGATATATCTTTCCTTTTTAAAGCAATTAATTTGACGCTAAACTTTTTATCCAATATTTAGCAACAGGAAAAATTGTTTGTCAATCCTTAACTACAAATATTTTGCAATGTTTTTAATAAAAAGTAGTAATTTTAAGTTTTTAGTAAAAAACTTTAAAAAAATCTTTATTCCATATTTATTAATACAGAATATAAATGTTTTTTGTAATATAAATTTTTTAAGAATTTTTTACTGAATTTATAATAAAAA